TAATGAATGATGTAAGGATTAAGACTTAGGCAATATGTAATAATATGTAACAATGGGATGAACAAATTAAAAAGTAAATGATGAAATGTAAGAACATAGGAGTCGTTGAGGAAGTAGAGATGATAATGCGTGCTGTTAGAGTGAACATTTCACCAGAATGATTCAATATGTAGATATTGATACATGAAGAAAAATGTCAAAACGTAAAAAGACATTGAGATATATATTATTTATCTTGTATAACATTCAAAATGATAAAAATGAAATGCGGCTAAATACAAAAATATGTATAAAAATGTATAAAAATTTGAATTCATAATGGTACAATGAAAACATTACCAATAAATTAACATTTCAATAAGAAGATAATGAGACTGAAACGACTAATGGTGTGGAGAGAGAGAGAGAGAGAGAGAGGATCAGATTTATTTATTTACCGTTACAGTTAATGGAACTGAACTGATTGTTGCAATACAGACAAAAACAAAAGAGATTTATGAACTGACTTGTACAGTTAAGTAAGAAGACAATAAAACTTACTGAAACAAATGTTACTAACAGTGAAGACAGAGACTATGAGCTTTACATACTAAGTGTTAGAATTAAGGTAGATACAATGATATTTTCTAGATGATACAGTCAAGACAGACATACAATATAACTCAGACATTAATGTAACGTCTGTATCATAAAGTGTCTAACTAAGAATACTTAACTCATATATTGAAATGACAGAAGCTTTAGATAGACTGAATAAAACCGTTTACCTTTGTATTTATATTTTCCCTTGAAAATGTTTTGACTGCTACGTGCAGTATGGTAGTTACTGTAACATTATAGACCGCATGTGACAGGACCTCTAGCATATTAACAGCACTGAGAAATGTCGTTAGTTGTCATGCAGTGAGCTGCTTTATCTTGACACTGAATTTATGAAAAAAAAAACCATTTCGACGTATTTTTGTAATTCTTGGTAGGAGTTTAATTTATTAAAAGAAATATATTTTCAGTTTGATACAAGTGAAGTATTTCTGTTCATTCCTTTAAGATCTGACGAAAGATAATTTTGCCCTTGAATACAACTTTTGCACAAGGATACCTCCGAAGAACAATTCACCATAAGCTATTAAAACAGTGATGTATTTATGGTACTTTTACCAACACTTTAATTCTGGTTGCTTGTTAATACAATGTCATTTTATATTTATTCATAACCTTTATAATTTTTGCAAAGGATGTACCGTTTTTAAAAGGTTCATTCACATTGCCATTTTATATTCTTAGATGAAAATCTGCAATACGAATCTATCTCCCTTTCTTTCCATGGACCACCTGCATTCAACATACAACAATAAATCCTTACATAAGAAGTTACGCATTTCGTTGACAACAAGCACAAGTGAATAGTTTATTTACCCTCCTCTCTAACCCTCCAGTTGCCGGCCCATGCTGCATTCGGAGTTGTATCTGTTATTTATCACCCAAATTCAAATCACCTGTTCCATCAGACATTTTGTTACACTCTTCTAGAAATCAAAGCACTAAGTTCACATACAACAAAAACGTAAAGAAGTTACTGCCATGTCACCCATGTTGGATTGTTTCTTCTGGCTTTTCTTGAAAGCAGTTAAAAAATACAATATTTACGATCGGATATTGTTCATGCTGTATTTATAACCCAATAAATATTTATATTTATATTCTGGAAATACTCTTTTGTGATAGAATTGTATATGCGGTCTTTTTTTCCCCTACTTGATAAACCATTACAAGACATTCGATTCCCATTGCTTATTTTGTTTTGGCAAACCCAATTTGTTTCGTTCATTTCCATCATAATGATCATAATACATGTCTGTAAATTCAATTTTTACGGGGGTCGATATCCAGAAATAAACTTAGGGATCTAAAGAAATTTCCTGCTTCAGAGCAATTGATGTCAGCGTTGTGTAAAAGTGTACTGGAGCGAACTGCTGAATATTCAAATCACTTTGTAAAAATTTGTATGATGTCTGCTTCATTTCGTAAATGTTAAAAGCAAAGTCATTGGACCAAACTTTCAATACAAAATGAGTTTGAATCTAATCCAGTAATGATAAATGCTCATAAAGGGAAAATATGTAATGACAAAACAATGAGCCAATCAGCCTATACAAAGAAAATATTATGGAATTAAATATTCCCCCCCTCTCCTTCTCTTTTCTGGACTTAAATAATTTAAGCAGATCTCCGGTTATACATGTAGTTTCGACTGAAAAAAAACAAAAAAAAAAAAAAAAACAAATGAAGAGATCGATTAAAATCATTGTAGTTTGTAGGGGTTTGTTTTGATTGTTAGAAAAAAAATTACACAACCTAGGTCATCTATCACACGAAAACAAATTTCTTTACTGTGACTTGATACATGTACATTTCATTAAAATTGCAAGATTCAAGATATAGAAATTGATAATAACTACGTGTTCAGAATTGTTTAATGCTAAGTTTATTGTGTAATTGGTGTTTTCTGTGTAAAGGGAAAAAAAAAAGGTATCTTGCAGTACAAATGTATTTGTGCGCTTTCTCTTCACATTCGTAGACTGTCGGATCAGACGTGAATTATTCGTAATCGAGGAGAATGATTTAAGATAAAGTTTTTTTTTTTTTTTTTTTTTTTTTTTTTTTTTGGTTAAAAAAGTTGATATTTCTACTTTTCCTAAAATACAAATGCAATGAAATTTCGCCATATTTTTGTATATATTTCATTATGTGCACAGAACATCAATTCCTAAATGTGAAATTTGTTTTTAAAAATAACTATGCTATATATTCCCACGAACATCTACGAATGACACTTGTTTGTTAGGCTTTGCCCCGAAATTGCATTCTAAAACTCCTACAATGTTGCTTGTCGGTACAAATGGTAACTTTGGCATGACGTGAAAGTACATAAAAAATCTGCAAAACATCTAAAACAATAAGAAATGCGAATCTCACCCTTTGCCAGAAAAACACAAAAATTTTATCTAACGGGGAGCGTGATTCTCAAGCAAGCGTGAAATCTGTGTGCAACAATAAAGCCAGGCGAGATAAGTTTTCTGAGTAATAAAGAAATAATTTTGTAAATTAAACACTTCACCAATTTGTATTATCTTTGAGTCACGTAAGTTAATCAAAGTTTCAAATTTATCCTAAAAATTAAATGATTACATCTGCATAACATCCGGGAAAACTCTACAAGCATCTTAAATTTCTGTTTGGTTCTTTTTATATTATTATTTTACACGGTAAGTTAAATCTTTGTAAACAGATTAAAAATTTTGAAACATAAAATTTGTAATTCCATTAAAAATTATTGTACACAACCCTCAAACACAATCTTAAAATGCTGGGATGCGCCATTTTTTTCAGTTTAATTATTTTTTAAATATACTACTATAATAAACTCCATACAGTTTATTCATTACGTCGAGTATAAATTTCAAAGTAATATGATAAATTATGTAATTTTCAGTTAAAAAATTGATAACAAATTATTTTTAATCTATGCAAGGAGAAATAAATAACACAAAATTCAATGTATTCGTTTCTTCTTATTTTTATATTCCCAATCTTTCAACTCTAAACAAGCTTTTAAAAAATTATTTTATTACCAAAATCTTCAATAGATTTATTTATATATCATTAATTTATTAAATGATTTCCTACAAGTCTAAGTTATACCCATTTAAATCTATTTAAATTATAAAAAAAAGAATACAAAATGAGGAAGAAAGAAAAACAATAATCATAATTGAATAAATTAATGATCAGAGATACGGATTAAAATACATGTATGTAAATCATTTGATTCTTCTTTTGGGGAAAAAAGTTCCCTAGGTATCTTGCAGTTAAACCTTCGTATTTTACTGAATATTGTGATGTTAATAATCTCTGTTGATTTGTGACTGGAGGGTGATATACATGAGAATTGACAGCAGAATTCGAGTTCGGGGTTTGAGCTGTCTAGGAGTGATGTCCAGTGATTGATTAAGCTCGGGCTCGGTTTGTCGGTTTTAATATGTCAGGAGACTGGGGGATAGAAGCCGGATATTTAGAACGTTCAGAAAAACTTTCGTAATAAAGAGGACTTAGATATATTTATATAAGCTTCTATTTTAGATATATATATATATTTATTTGTAATAAATGTTATTTTAATTGCACAATTTTTTTCAATATATATATTGATATTAAAGCACACTACGAGAAGTGAAGCGTTTGACCTATAACGTATACGTTTATTGCATAAATAACACATTAAAAAATATATATTTATATGCATATCTGAATTTTGACATTCAAATTGATTGATTGCATCTAAAAAAGTATATATTTATAAACTGGTTATAAATCAGTTTTTCTTTTAAAACTACGTTTGTCCATTAAGTATCGATATTTATAATGAAGTTTTAACACTCACTAATTGAATATAAAGCCATCTGAATAGACTAAAGTGTTATTTTCGCACCGAAACGGAAATTTAATTAACGTGTTTGAATGCGTTTACAACTTACCTACTCACCACAGAAAACATCCGGGATAACGATTCCAAAAAATAATTGTGATGAACAAAAAATCCCAATAATGAATCAGTAAAGAAACCCCGACAAGGATCAATCGGAAAGATAACAGACATTTAAATAATTTGAAATCAAAATTTTAACCCAGTGAATTAAATCCTCTTACTCAATTTAGAGAACTTGAAAGGTCCAGGCGGTTTCTTTGATGTGGTGTTTGGTACAGATGGACCGTGACCCCTTTGTATTGGTCATTCTTTTCCTTACATAAGACTGACAGTGGGCCGCGTGTCCTTCGAGGACTCTTTCTTTGACCAGTTTGTGTTTGTCAGAATAAGGATAATTTATGCGAAAAATATTACCCCGAAACCAAAGTGATTATTTTTTCATTACATAGTCTTCAATTTCAATACCCTCTTTCGTTGTAATTTAAAAGAAAATTTCTTTTCTCTCCTTTTTCAGTCTTTGGAGTTGAATGAAGTCTGAATCATCTGTTTGATTGGTTGGTATCACGTCACATGACTGCTGGGTAGGTCGATGGTGGAGATGATTTGAGTTATCATAATATGACACATAGAAGGGGGAATGAAATAAATTTCAGCAACAGAGACATGCACAAAACTGCGTTTTACAACCACCCGGCCGTGTTTCAGAATTACTTCCCCGGCGACACTAATTACTGCTATGATGTTCCGTATGGGCAACCAAACATGTCTCCTCAAACCGGAGACTTCTACTCCCACCCATCGTGCGCCGTGCAGAACAACAGTATATCATCTCCAAACGGATCTTATGGAACACAATACACGGGTCCCGACGGGTACTCTAACCACTTGACCGGGGTTGGGAGTCCGAATACCGCCTCTTACAGTAATAAGGGAGAGATATATCCATGGATGAAAGAATCGAGACAAAACTCAAAGCAACGCCAAACAACTCAGCAACAAAAACAACAGCAACAACCACAACCTCAGCAGCAACCTCAGCAGAACCAACAGCAACAGGGACAACCAGGGCAGACCGCGCAACAACCAGGACCTGGTAAGTCGTTTCTTCTGTGTTTGTATCTAGAATGATTTGGGGAATTAAACATAGACATTTATACCTCCCCCCAGTGACCGACTACCCATTAAAACCTAATTTTCTAATGATGGATATTGCTGCTACAGAGGGTTTATGGCCTGTTTCTGCAGATTGTTCGTTTTTTTAAGTCTGATATAGAAGAGGATCTACCAGGAATATATTCTTGATTGATATCAGTTTAAGGGCACATCTGTTTACCCAACAGTATAACGGATTTGTTGCTTATCTTCTTCCAGATAGACTTATTCGATTGTATAAAGTGAAAATGTCCGATTATTATCAAGAAATCTGTTTTGGAAACCAAATGTAAATAATGAATTTTACTCCAGGTGTATGAGTGTTACCTCCAAAGTAGATAATTATGTACACAGTCAATATCTGTAAAATATCGTGGTTTAACTCGGTTATAGTAATTATCTTCACACACATTTTAAAATGATATTGCAACTTCACGCGTTATTAAAGGAAAAACAAATATCTGCTGCGTTTGCAAACTAGGCAGTGATAATACTTTTTAATTAAATAAAAAGAAGAAATTACGGTCTTAAAATATTGAGATGTTTTACTCTGTGTGTGGTCTATAAATTGTATATAAGCTTTAATTCAATTACTTGTAATGGAAATCAACTCCACTGTTATCTGATTGACTTTGTAATGTAATTATAATTCCTAATCATTATTGCATGCAATAATTAAATCACATTAATTAATTGTAATTCGATGAAAGCGTACGTTTTCCATGGGGAAATTTTCCCAGTAAAGTAGATTTAGCTTCATACACGTTGTATATATATAATATTATATATAAAAAGTAAGATTAGGCATAAACGAAAATAAATCTCACATGATTAATGTGTTTATTCTCTTAAATAATGTGTTTTCTAAAAATCTATATTTTAAATTTTGTTCATTAAAATCAAAGGGTGATTTTCATTTGAAATATTTCATTCAGATTTTTTCCCCCAAAAAACTAGTAAACATTAAATCATCATCCGAAAAATGACATTAAAAAATATTAAGCTTAAAAACATTTATAAAGCGTAGTAAATGCCTGTTGTCTTTGTGACTTATTTTTTTCAACAACAACAACAACAAAAAAAAAAAAAAAAAAAAAAAAGCTGCAATATTAATGAAAATAGTTATGTTGCAGATTTTCATATGACAGAAAAAAATGCCTGAAAGATATGAATAATATGCCATGATATTATACTTGTAATCTAAAGAGGTCCTTGCTCGATATACTTGTTAACCGAGATTTCTATATTTTTACTCATAATCTGAAGATATACTTACATGACCCACTGGTATGGGAAATATTGTGTATTGTAGTACGCAAAAATACTCATTTTTTGCCTTCTTTCTAGTGTGTATATGTATGGTGCCCCTACATGCAAGATAAATTATGTTAACATGCGAGAAAAGTATGTCAACATGCAAGATAATTATGTCAACATGCAAAATAATTATGACATGCAAGTTACCAATCTTTTTGGCGAATTTAATTTTAATGTTCATAAACTTACTTACTAAGGCAAATATACGACATCATACAAGCAAGCTGCAAACAGAATTTTGTTGACATGCAACTTATTTATGTTAACATGCAACATAATTATGTAGACATGCCACTTATTTATGTCAACATGCAAGATAATTATGTTAACATGCAACTTATTTATGTCAACATGCGACTTATTTATGTCAACATGGGAGTTATATTTTAACTTGCAAGATATTTATGTCAACATGCAAGATAATAAGTTGCATGTTAACATACATATCTTGCATGTTGACATAATTAACTCGCATGTTAACATAATTATCTTGCAAGTTGACATAAAAAGTTACATGTCTACATAATTATCTTGCATGTTGACATAAATAAGTCGCATTCCTACATAATTATCTCACATGTTGACATACATTAGTCACATGTCAACATAATCCTGTTGTATCTTGCTCGTGTGATGTCATATAATCAAATGGCGTTAGTAAGTAAGTTTACCAATATTAAAATAAGATTCTCATAGGAGCTCGAGATTGTAACTTGCATATCAACATATCTATTTTGCATGTTGACATAAATAGGTCGCATGTCTACATAATTATGCTGCATGTTAAGATAATTTATCTTGCATGTAGGGGGAGAATATGTCACCATTTATATGCTAATATAAAGCCGAATAATTTCAATGCTTGAGATTGTATAATTTTGTATAGATTTTGCAGAAATTATATATTTATGTAATTGATAAATCAAAGAAAATCTTGTTAGGGTGGCGTTTTTCCAGTTTCTAATTTGCCCATCTATGGGCATTTCTTCTCAACTTTTTCGATCGCCCATATGTTTTCGAAAATACATATCAATCTGCAACCAAGATATATCATCTGAAAGAAAACAATTATGTAAAATTTGTAAAATAAATAAATAAATAAATGAATAAATAAATAAATAAATTTCGCTTCTGTCTTTTTTTTTTTAGAACCAACAAAGAGAGCGAGAACAGCGTATACTAGCGCCCAGCTAGTGGAACTAGAAAAGGAATTCCATTTTAACCGCTACCTTTGTAGACCCAGAAGGATAGAAATGGCGGCGCTTCTAAGTCTAACTGAGCGACAGATCAAAATCTGGTTCCAGAACAGAAGGATGAAGTTCAAGAAAGAACAGCGCCAAAAACCCCACTCTGACAAGTGTAAACACGACGGGAATTTATCCGGAAGTGATAGTGACAGCCAAGGGTCGACATCCGGTGGCGTTGACCGACTCGGCAGTGATTGTGGCGGGAAATTGAGTCCGGATGACCTGGTTCATCCACATTCACCTCATGGTCTGCACTCCGGGATGGGGGCACATAACAATCACACGAACCACAAAATCACTCACTCTCCTCAGGTCCCTGGACATGATCAGAGTTTACGTAATCAATACCTCACAGATAACAGTAATTACTTCCGGGAGCAAACCTCACCTCGTCAGACGCAGTCAATCTCGCCACCGCATTCACATTATAACGACATATACCAATCCTCACAACATCCGAGCTACAACCACCTCCCTCCCGATACCACAGGGTATACGGCAGCGGGTCCTTACAATACCCACAGTCCCGTGTATCCAGAATTACCTCCCACGAATGCCCAAATGGAGCCTGGAAATCAGTATTCTTCCAACATGGGGTATTCAGCGGGGATTCCAAACTCAAATTGTTATACTCAGGGTACTTATGACTACATGCCAAAACTGACGCATTTGTAATTATAAAAAATGATATTTTATGTTAGATTAATTCTGTAGGGTTTATGTAGTATAAAAAAATTCTTTAAAAATCACAGACGTTACTACGAACATGACATTTCTGTGTTAGTCTTGAACAATCTGGCATATTGAAACAGTGAAAAATCCGAAGAAACACACTCCTTTAAAACTCTGCAATAAATCTAATCGATTTCAGGCGATCCAAAATCATGGACACTAATAAAGCAATCGGAATTAAACTGAAGCGATAGCCTTAACGACCTGCCGGATTTGACACATCCTTAATAAAGTAATGGCCTTTTAATAGTGTCTTCTAACGATGAAATATACAGCTGTATTAAGATGCTGGTCAGTTACAGACAATGATCACAATATGGTGGAAACTGTCAACAAAATTGCCGTGATGACCACCGTCCGTAATAATGATAGAGAGTCAAGAGACAGGTGTGAGCATGTGTGAATTGTTTTGTTGCGTTATGGAGTTTTTTCTTTTATCGTTCATTAAAAAAATCATTTAGCCAAAGACAGCTCGTGAATAATAAATGTGTAGATTGTTAGCAGTGTGCATGTACTTTAATAGTCATATAAATGAACTATCATTTTACAAGATTCAGTGTACATTCAGGGTAAATATTTGTCATGCCAAACGAGAATTTTAGTTATTTGTTTATCTCCGATACCAGGGTAATATGAGGCGCATTCTTCCAGGTTTTAAATGTTATGTATTTTACGTCTTCTAGAGATAGAATTTTGAGTTTCTCTTGAAAATGTCTTGTTTTCATGCTTAATTATACAATTTAATTTTTACCAAATTTCTGGATTTGAGGAATGAAACATTTGTTAGATAATTATCCGTTAATTTTTTGTTAAATAATAAAGAGTCAGTCAATTGTAATATGTTCTATTGCATTTGTCCATTGAACTGAAACAGTGATAAAAAAAAACGTTAATTCATTAATACACACGTCTACAATGTGAGATACCTTTGTGATTCAAGGATTTAAAGGCTGAATCAAGAGATGATTCCATGAGAATGAATTATAATCGTTATTGAATACATTACTGACCATAAGTGATTGAAATAAAAAAAAAATAGGATAAAGGTCTCGGATAGAGAACGAAAATTATTTCTTTCCAGTTTGAAAAAAAATGTTTATTGTATAAATTATTTAAGATACACCGTTTTAAGAGGTAAATTAATCACAATCGACATATCATGACGGGGCCAATAGCTACTCCAATGGACAGTAATAATGGAAGTGCGATGTCTCATAAAATATTCAGAATCTGAGAAGCAATGGAAATGTTTACAATAACTTGATTGACATGGAGGTTAAAATTTATAGGCGCCAACTAAAATTCAGAAAATACGGGAATATGCCACCTCTGATTTGACAATCCGTTTTGATAGAAATAGTGTAAACTGTTTTTATGATAAAATCGCGATTCAGTTTCAAATCCGTCATTTTTTGAGTAAGTGTCAGAATGCATTAATTTAAGACTTCTAGAGATCTTATCTCCTAGTTCAATTAAAATTTTACCACACCAAAGTTTAATACACGTCAAATTTTAGGCCCCGATCTTAGATGGTGGTGGATAGGCTGTACGTGGACCAAAGAAATAATACAATCCCTTTCAATTCCACAACAAAATATTTACAGAAGTCGGCCTTTGATGTACAGGAAAATACCCGGCAATGGTTGATTGTTTTGTGAGTAAACATGCTGGATCAAGGATAATCGTAACTTGCTCCGACTCTGAATTGTGAAGCTGTCACGAGAGCCATATTTGATACGAAGCAGACGGTATCTGCAAGTACCCGGCTGTAACGTCACGGTACCGTACCCGCCGCGACAAATTTGATTATCAAAACAAATATGCCCATAACTTAATATGTTCAGAAATTACCCTCTTTTACATGTAGGTGTTCTTTAAAATCTTCTCTGAGATAAAAGTGAGATTAGGAATTTGAATTCAAAGGTCATCCCTTTTTAAAGTAACGTGAAGCACTTTGAAGAGAAGGAAAGTCTGATGGGTACAAGATTTCACAAAGCACAAGCACACATCACTTTTTGTGCATTTTTTGCAGATGATTTGAATTTATTTCTTCAAGGGACACTTCAAGGGACAATTATTTCTTCAAGGGACACTTACAGCACTGTACTACTATTTGTAAAACAACAAGTTAACGTAAAAATCTCTTAGAATTGGGTTGACGTTCTTTTCCCGATTCAGATCCAGCCGTTGTATCGCTGCCTGATGTTTACCATGTATGGAATATCCAGGCCACCGAGGGCAATCCCCTTCCAGTCTTCTTTAACTTATGCTGACATCAAAATTGCAAAACTGAATGAATAATGATAGGAAAATGGAATTTTTTTGGCGTAATGATACGGGTAGATCTTTGAGGAATTTCACACCTGATGTTTAATCTGTTAATATTGAACATACCTATGTGTATGTTGGTGGCTTATTTATAGAGATCATAAACTGATAAAGTTAATTAAAATTCCAAAATATTATTGAATGTCATTCGTAAATAATAATAGAAATAAAAATCAGTTTCTGTGAAATTCGGAATCATAGAGAGTATATAAAAGTGTCCTGTCTATCAGATTTTATCACAAGGCAATGTAAGTACTTGTAATTTATGAGTTTAAAAAAATCTGCCAGGAATACGAAACTTTTGAATGTTATCTTTATCATAATGAAAACGAATGAATTTGAAATTTTGATAATTTTTCCATCGTTCATTAAAACTTATTTTTGTGACGATTAACTGATCAAATTAAACCTGGGGAAAATCATCATATCAATATCATAAACCCGAATGATAAATTGTTGACAGTATCCTTTTTTTGTGGGTGGGGGGTGGGTGTTTCTGGTTTGTACCTTTTTGGTACAAAAATCTTTTGTTGTATATCGTCATGCATCGAGTATCCACTTTTGATGACCAAGTTCCAGATCTTTATTTTCTTTTACCTTGTTAGACAATAAAATAAAAGTATATTTTTAAATTAATACGCACAGCATTCTTATGCACAAATATTTAAAAATGCTCTATTAGACTTTATACGACCGATGTTGTACATAAATTATTTACATATTTGTAGTTATACCACCGACACTCTTTCTGCGATGAAAGGTGTGATGCAATTTTGGATTACAAATAAAGAATATTTCATGAACCATATTTCATTTTACTCTTGCTGGAAGATAATAGATTCCTCTGTGCAAATCTGTACAAACTTTGAAAATCTAATCAATTTATTGTATGTCTCTACATTTGGAAATGAAGAAGGATTCTTAATTTTACTGATTTAGGGAAAAAACGAGTTTCTGGAATAAAACTTGAATTTTCATAGAACCCTCTAATATCACGTTAAGTTCGATCATTTGATATTGGTGGGTTCACTAAATTGACCATATTATGACATTTTTAAAATTTTTCAAATAAATGTCGCAAATTTTGTATTGTTGTTTTCTTGAAATTATAGCACATATTTCTAAATTTAAAATGACATATTAATTAATTTCCAGATAATATGGAAATGCTAAACTTGACAGGAGACAGTTTTGCACTGTAGGTCAGGTCAAAATTGTTGGGAAAAGAGGAACGGGGGTGGGAGGGTGGATTGAGTGTGTATTTCAGGGTTATTGAATACTATTTATACATGAAAATAAAGTGCTCCCTCATTTCATTATAAATTACAGTCATAAAAATATTCTAAAATTAACATTAATTAACATTAACTACATTCAATATATTGTATGATTGTTAATTTAATTTCCGTAGCAATTTTGTGAAAGGAAATGTTCCATTAATATAATTGTTGTGAAAAAAATGCTCGCCCAACCCTTATGAATACCCTATCGTAAGTTTCCAATACTTTGCACCACCTTGAAGATAAAAAATATTACCTGGACTCTTATGTAAGTTGATCATATGGGGAAAATGTATGTGTAAGACATAACCCCCCCCCCCCCCGAATTTTATTAGAATGCACGCCACTGAACTCATGTTCTAAGTACTATAGGAAATGTACAGAGTCCCTCAAAATTCCAGTATACTGCTTTGATAGGATGAGATAACTCTGCCATGACTGTTAGAAAAATATCTGTCCTATGAACAAACCATAGTAGTCTCTCTTTTCACAAGTGTCATACTCGGTAAATAAATTCCTTTTCTCTATTTTGTCAACCATTTAAACCAGAACATACATAATGTGTATAATTTTTTTTCTTTCTCTTTTTCCCCCAAAGTATTGAATCAAGAAATATGCATATGAATCACAATAATCCCTGGTCACCTTGTTCGCATTGAGAAAATTGTACTCTGTGTTTGATAAATTGTAGGCCTTGTAACAATTCTGAAATATAACTTGAAAAAAATTGTTAAATGAGATTGCATATTAATTTGACAAATGTTAATTTAATTTTATTTTTATATGTATAATGATTTCATTCTTTATTTTTAGGCAACACTTTTCACTCCCTGGTTTCACATCCATCATTTTCTACAGAAATGAACATACTTAGAATTTAGTTTAACATGTATCGACAAAAGAAGAAATTTGCATATCTAGTTGACATATTGTACTTCATTAAAAAAGTAAAATGATTTTCCGTTACTTCAAATTTAGATTGCCACGTGTATAATGGTCTCACCATTGAACATGAAAAGTGATCTGTTTTCAGTAAATTTTTTATATTTTATTTTCAATCGAAAAATAATGAATTCAGATTACATGTATCCAAGAACGCTTTGTGCCAAGTATGATTCATATCAGTAGTCTTGGACATATATGGTATGTGCAGATGCGGACAGAATGAAAGGCAGTTGGAGGACATTTCTCTCTTCTTTTGTTTTTCTTTTGTCTCAATAGCCTTCCTGATCTTGTTGTTGAGATGAGATAAATCAACAGTATCCAACAAAACAAACAAAAAAAAAAACAAACAAAAAAAACAAAAACAAAAACAAAAAAAAAACAAAAAACAAACAAACCCAAAACCAACAACAAAAACAAACAAAACAAAAACAAAACCAAAATCAAATACAAAGCAAAACCAAAAAACACCCCCCCCCCCAAAAAAAAAAAACAAACCAAAAAACAAAACAAAAAACTGCGAACTTCGATCAAAAACATTTTGTAGGACCAGAACGTAAAAAATTGTTTTGTGAAAATGAAAATCATTGTTAATTGACGTTAAGCAGTTCGACGAATTTCTTCATTGGTTTTGTAAAATATTAAAAAATTAATATTTTTACGGCTATACTTTATTTAACGTTCAGTCCAAACACCTGTCTAATAAAAACACCGTTACTTCAGAAGTCGCTATAGACCTTCACCTTCATTCAAATATAACTTAGACAAATTGGCGCCATGACTATCAAAATATTGCCGTATCCAACACAAAGTTTTCTGGTGAGCTTTTACTGTTGAGGACCTGCATTCTATAAACGTTTCCCTCACCCAGCTGTTTTCTGCATCCCCCGCTCCTTACCTCGTCCCCTGCCGTGAACTTATCTCCGCGCCAGAAAGCAGCTCCAAAAAATATCGAGAAAGCTCAAGCATTTCAGCAGGATTAGATATATTTAACCTGGATCATGATTACTGTATGCAATATACACTAACTTGTTCAATCTTCAATAAAAGATTCTGGACACCATTACGATGAAGAATCAAAGAAATCACCTGAATTTTTGATTTGCAATGTAAATATTTCACAAGAAAACATTTTTCAAACAGGATTATATATATATATATATATATATATATATATATATATATATATATATATATATATATATATATATAT